GCTGGGCATTTCCATTTGTTGAAATGCTATTTCTATGATGTGTCCCTTTAAAACATGACATATTGTGACTCACCATTTCAGAATTGCTTGCATCATACCTCAATGCATCAAGGATTTGTGATTTCACTCAGGTAGTGATCTTCTTTCAGGGTTGGAAACCATAACCCTTCTGTGGCATCACAGAGAGTTGCTGTGGCCTTAAGAAATTCCCACCTGGTCAGCATCCATTTGCTGGGCGATGAGCCTGTCTGAACTCACCCAGGGTGGTCACTCTGACAATATCAGCCCTGTCAGAATTTGTGCTTAATAGGCAAAGCCTTCAAAAACCACATGTCAGCTCCACACTAAGAGAAAGCAGTGGAAGAAGACTTGGGTAGACTGTCTGTATTGCATGTGTATGTAAAAACAAACTCTCAACAAGTCAAAAGCAGCACTCTCCAAGAAAAAAACAACTGGATGAATATGCTAGGTAAAGAACACAGGATTACAGATCCAGAATTGGAAAGGACCTCAGAGAGCACCTCGTCCAGCCCTCTGAATTTTCCAGATAAGGAGAGGCCCCAGGAGATACAGTGACTTGCTTACACCACCTAGGTAGTCAGTATCAGAGGCAGCATTTGAACCTAGGCCTTCTAACTCCAAAGACAATGCTCTTTCTATGGTACCATGCTGCTAAAAGCCAGATCGAAGATACCACATTCAATTGGAACTATGTAAGACCACCAGAAGCAACAAAGTTTTTATTTATTTCTTTAGAAAATAATGTTTTTAATTAATAAGCATTTATTTTCTCTCCTTCTTATGCCGTAACCCTGGGAAAGGAAGGTGAAAAGGAAGGAGAAGACGAATGAAAATGAGGACATAAAAACAGGTATTGGTCTAAGAAAAAGCGACAGGGGAAGGGGATAAAAGGAGCTGGGGAAAGGGATAAAGGAACAAGAGAAGCGAAGGGCATAGGGGAAAGGGATAAGGGAAGGAGATAGGGCTGGGGATCAGGGGAAGGGAAGTGGGTAAATATATACCATCCCACTTTTTTGTAAGGGTGGGAACCATGGTTGTGGGACTTGAAATATGATATTAAACCTTTCACTACATGGCTAGTTTTGCTGAACTATTTTTTTCCCTTTTTATTCTTTGTCAAAAGAGATGATTCTCTAGTAGGGAGTAAAGGGAAAGATACACTGGGAAATATAAGTAATATAAAAACCAAAGCTAATAATTTTTTAAAAGTACTATATAAATGTGAGTTGCAATGATGTCAATGGTGACTACTTAGGGTAGAGACAGATACCTTGGCTATGACAATCTAGGCTACCTCGTCCCCCAGCTGGCACCACACCAAAATACATTGTGATCCTAAGCATTCCACAGCAGCAACAGCAGAAAGCAATTAGGCCAAATGGGGAAAAAACCTGCCAAGAGTTATAGGGCCATATGAGACCAAGCAACACAACTTTGAGAAGTCTTTGCATACTATTTTAGAGCAGTTGGACCACAAGAACCTAAAATATCTCCAACACACCCGAAAATCAAAATAGTGAGAGAGATGATAGATACTCCTTTTAGAGAATTCTACTGTGCAGAAAATTTTCATCATTCAGGAAGGTTTCAACTCCTGAAAACCCAAGGGCCACTTGGACATTATGAGGGAGAGAAATGTAACAGAAGAAAGCCCTGGGATCTATCATAACATCATTTCACCACCAAAATGGCAAAACTCATCCTAAAAGTATCAGGTCCAGAAATAGGGGAATCTCCCTCCCTTGTTCCCCTGAGAATAATGTGGGTAATAGTGTCAGTGAGAGCAGCTCAGCTGCAATGAATTCAGAGGAAGTTTTATGGCTTATTGGACAGTTCAAAAACACTTAAGTACCTGCAGGAAACTCAGTGCATCAAATTATACAAACTGTTTATGCAAGTAAGATCTTCACTGTTAATTAGGTAACAAATTTTGTAACCTGACCCCTGGACCACGTTTCTTGGCTCCCTTAATAAATTCTGTTTGATCTAGAAACTGAGTCCTTGTATAGCATTTTCATTAGTGGCTTGGATAAAGCCACAACTGCCACATTCCTCAAATTTGCACAAGATACACATCTGGGAGGAATAATAAATACATGTGATGTCAGGTCCCCAAAAAAGACCAGCATAAGCTAGAACACTGAGACTAAATCTAGTGAGATGTAATTGAATAGAACTGAATGCAAAATCTTACTTCCAGCTAAAAAAATAAAAAATCAGTATCCCAAATGGGAGAACGATGGGCAGAGAGCAGTTTACCTGAAAAAGATCTAGGGGCTTTAGTGAAATAGGGATTCTTATAGAAGTACGGAGGTTAGATTTATGAAGTCAGCTTTTTTTTTCCCTTTGGGTTAGGCAATGGGGTTAAGTGACTTGACCAAGGCCACACAGCTAGTAAATGTTAAATGTTATGTGTCTGAGGCTGCATTTGAACTCAGGTCCTCCTGAATCCAGGGCAAGTGCTCTATCCACTGTACCATCTAGCTGCCCCTATGGAGGTTAGATTTAAAGGAAAATATTAGGTCAGTTCTAACTCTGAGATTCTGTGATCCCTGTTTTGTGATCCAGGCAATACCTCTGGCTTTCAGTAACCCAACAAAATCCTAGCTCTATGACCACAACCTCTGAACTTTGCAGTTCCCTCCCCTCTCTCCCCTCCCTACCTCTCCCCTTGCATAGTGATCTGTAAGTCAAAGCCTCCCAGCTCCTTACTCCCCAGTATCTTGTCTAAAATAAAATAAAATAAAATAAACTTCAATCTACCCTTCAGAAAAATCTCAATCTAAGTGTGAGTTAATCCAGACGCAGGGCTCACTCAGGTGGGATCAAGAGGAACAATACGCTGCTGAGGATTTGTCTCATATCAACAAACACTGCTGAGATCTGCTCATCATGGAATATCCCTTGGCAAAACCAGCTCCCTTCCTCCCATTGGTGAATTCTTTCTGAAGCCTCCATTTTGCTGAAGGGCTCAGGCCAGCCTTCCTCAATTTCTCCTAGCTTTTCAGGTCCCTTTTGTATGTTGTCTTCCTTTGTTAAAATGCAAGCTCCTTGAGGGCAGGGCCTGTTTTTCTTCTGGCTTGTATTTGTATTCCAAGCGCACAGTCCAGTGCCGAGCAAATAGTAGGCATTTAATAAATGTTTGTTTTCTTTCTTCCTTCATGTGCAGGGATCCTCACTTTCAGGGTTACAGAAATTCTCTCCAACCTGATAAATCTATCAGGCTCTCTCTGTGTGTCCCACATGCCCAAGGTATCACTAAATAGTATGATAGCATGCATTATTATCGTGTGTGGTGGAATGTAATGAAAAATAGCAAAAGATGACATTTATACAGTATTTTATGATTTACAAAGCATTTTCTAAAAGTAGTAAAATTGTATCCACACAATCCCATGATGTAGAAAATGTGAGCTTCACTCTCCCTCATTTTGTAGAAACAGCAGTAATTCCCATTAATGTGGAGTACTTTAAGGCCCACAAAGTGCTTTCCCATAACTACCCTACTGGACAGTATTTCAATGATTAGGAAATTGAGACTGAGAGAGTTTAAACACCCATCCTAAGATCACTCAGCTAATCCCACTGCAAAAGTTAAAGTTTGGCCTCAAACCCAGGTATTCTGATTCTTGTACTGCCCTAGATCTCTTCCCATTTTTAAAAGACACTAAAAGTCATATATAAAGGGAATTGAAACCAGACAGTCAAGTTTTTCAGCATTTTCATTAAAATTTCAGTCCCTATTGTACATACCTTAGTTTCTATTAGTAGTCCATTCTTCCCTAAAAGACTTTGATGCCCTATAGTAAAATTTTACTCTCTGCTAAATTTTCCTCTCTGCTTTTTTCTTGCTACATATTCATGTATTGAAATGATTATAAAGCTACTCAGTTGCATATTTCCTTCCACACCTACCTTTACCACTTGTATTTAGTAGGTATGCTAGTGGAATATGTTTGACTATAAAAGACACCTTTTAAGAGTAGGGGATTCTCTGAAAGACATATCTGTTTGCAATAGTTATACAGCCTAAGGAAGTCTCTCTCTGTGTTTGGTTTAATAGAAACCAATCTAATTTGTAGATCAAAAGCCTACATTTCATCTATCAAATGTGTACATATAAGAGCTAGAGCAATGAGCAAAAACTGTTTATGTGTATCTGAAATAAGTTACTAGTTATGAGAGTCTGAGCAAATCAAAGGAATCATTTACATAAAAAATTAGACACTAGTTACAAGGATAAAAGGTGTGGTAAGTAACAACACACACACACACACACACACACACACACACACACACACACACACACACACACACAACACACACATATACACCCCCAGGGTCTCAGTATCAACAGATTTTATTATTGTTCACACATCAAGAAGCAATTACTGGAAGCTATTCTATTTCTACACAAAAACATTTTTTTATGAAAATAAAATCCTACAGTGGAATATGCAGTTAATAAAGTATAAGGACTGAGTACTAAATATGTTCATTCATACATTTGTTCTTTTTTTATTCAAATGTTTATTAAGTATTTGCTACAGGAGAGGGCTAGATAGAAAAACAATGAATACCCAATTTCTATATTCTAAAGCTTACACACTCCAGTAAATAATGACACGTGTACAGATGAATGTGCAGCAAAGATCTAATACATTACACTATACTGACAAACACAAAATCTATACACAGAAGATGGCATTAATTTGCTCAGCTTGGTTTCCATTCTTAAAACGGACAATACTATCAATCAAATTTAGCTAATACTATCTAAAATCCATTCTGATTATCATACCTAATTCGTTATGCATGACAAATCATGGATGATTATTGATTTTCAATGATCTTTTTTGTATTTTTGCCTATTAAATACTTGGCTATTTGAAATATAAAAGAAGTTAACAACCCTAAGGCTCAAATGCATGCAAGGCAATTGAAAAACAACAAAACTCAATGAAAAAGATTGTACTTACGATATGGCACCTCTAGGGGGTGACCTGTCATATTGCACCATCCTATTGGGTGGATGTCAGGGCTGTCAACATCCATCCAATAGTCATATTTATGGCTCCAGCCATCAAAGTGGACCTGTCAAAAAGTGTAGTTTGAATAATCAGCATTTTGATAGTCATATATCCAAATATATATATGAAAAAATGTTATTAACCAGAGATCAACATACCACAAGTATAAAATTATCAAAAAATATTATTTGTGATCATAGCAAATAAAAATAAAGTTAAATTGAGAGTTCAAGACACATATATTTCTCAAAGAAATAATAAAACTTTTGACTTTTTGTCTGTTTTTTCTATTACCACAAGTAGATTCAGACATGGGTGAGAATTTTCACAAAAATTAAATGCCATTGTCACACTCTCTATTTAACCAGCTATTGACTTCTCATATCATCTTTTCTCATATAATCAAAAACAGTGATAAAACAAACCGAAACATTTTTTGATTTCCTGACCAGAGTTTTATCATCTCCATAGATGTTTCTCATTTTCATTCTGGTCTCATCTTTCCCCATATGTTTATCTTCAGAAATTGGCACGTTTTCAGGTTTGGCAAACCCTAGGACACTTTTCATCACATCCTAAATACACACACCCAAAAGAAAATATGCCTCCTAATTGCCCACATCAGGCTGAGATGTGGCACTGTTTCCACTATAGGTAAGTAGGGGGTAAATGTAAGTCTTCTATTTACCCAAGTTTAAAAAACACAGTATCAAATGTGGGGGAAGAAGAGAATGGTTAGACAATATTTCTTATGAAGAAGCAGTAAAAGTCAATAGTTTGAGGTGGTAGACAAAAAAATTCAAATGACATCCCAGGCTGAACTTACAGAAGCAAAATATCAAAAACACGAGATTGATGTTTCACTGTAGTCTATTATAATAAAAAAAAAAAATCTGGAGTAGTCTGTCAGGTTCTGGGCCCCACGTCTGAGGGGAGAGAGAAATAAGATAGTTCTTTTCAAGGCTGTTTTCAACACATGAAGGCAAAATGTAGTACAATCAGGAAAAGGGGCCCCTAGGTGGCGCAGTAGGCAGAACACTGGGCTTGGAATCAGGGAGACTCATCTTCATGAGTTCAAATCTGGCTTCACTTCCTAGCTGTGTGACCCTGGGCACGTCATTTAACCCTGATTTCCTCAGTTTCCTCATCTATAAAATGAGCTGGAGAAGGAAATGGCAAACCACTCTCGTACCTTTGCCAAGAAAACCCCAAATGGGGTCATGGAGAGTCAGATAGAAGCGAAAAACAACTTAATAACAAGAATCAGCAGCAATGGGTGGAATTCGCAGACTGGAAATTCTGCAGATGTCAGAGTGGAAGACTGAAGGTTGAGGGGTAGGGATGGGAAGAACTCCTAAGGATCAGAGCTTTCCAAAAGGGGACTAGACTACCTGGGAAAATGGAAGGGACCTCAGAAACCATCCAGTATAACTTCTATAAGAAAAGAATCCTCATTCTAATATACCTAATAAACATCCACCCAAACTCTGATTTAAGACCTTCAAAGCAAGAGGAACTCATCACTTCTTCATGTAGCCCATTACATTTTTTTTTCACAGCTTCAATTGTTTGGAAGATTTTCCTGATATCAAGTTTTTGCAATCTCCCCCTATTGCTACTGGGTTTTCCCTCTGGGGCCAAACAGAACAAATTTAATTCCTTTCTTAGGTGACAGACCTTCAAATATGAGAAGACACCTATCACGCCTCCCCTAAGTATTGCTTTTCCCAGGCTAAACATCTCCAGTGCCTTCAACACATCTTTCTATGCTGTGGACTGAAGGCTTTTGATCATCCTCTTCACATTCTTCATATTCTCCCTGTAATACTTCCCAGGTTATCATAAAGTATGCTGTCCAGAACTGAACACAATAATTCAGATAAGAGAAGAGTACAGTGTGGCTATTACTTCCCTATTCTTGGAAGATATTCCTGTCTTAATGCAGGCAAAGATTGATTAGCTTTTTTTTTTGGTCATGCTGATGAAACACACTGGGCTTGCTGTCCACAGAAAGCCATTGATCTTTGTCAGAAAAATTTCTGTCTAACCATGTCTTATACTGTGAGGTTGATCTTTTCATACCCAAATGTAAGATTTACATTTATCCCTACTGAGTTAAACTTATTAGATTTCTCTCAGTGCTTTATAATGCCAAGAACCCTATGGATCATCACTCTGTCATCTACTTTATTAGCTATCCCATGGTACCATCTTTAAATTTGGTAAGCTGGCCATCTAGTAAGTAGTCATTGACAAAAATATTAAACAACACAGCACAAATCTGAGCCATTACAGGAGATACCCCAGCTATGCTGACATTGAGTTATTAACAACTACACTTTCATAGTTAAGCCACCTGACCATTATGGGGAGACCTTCAAACAAAGCCTGGATAGCCACTTATTAAAGATGTCATAGAGAGGATTCTTTTTCAGGCATCATTTGGATTAGATGATTTCTGAATTTCCTTTAGCTCTGAAATTCTGTGCATAAATATCTAAAAACGCTAGATGAAGACTACTGCCAATATAATATGGTAAGGAAAAGAGGTGTTGTGAGCCTCAGAAATAGAAGACAGAACAGGTGGTATTTCACACAGCATTTAGAAGATTTCTCAGAAATTATGACAGCACCTGGGAGTAAGTGTGAGAGCTGAATTAACTGGATGGTGGTAGCAAATACAATTCTGAAGTGCCAAGGGTTTTAACCTAGAACTGTGAAATGGGATGGAAGAAAAAATACACCTTTATTTTCATTAACTTCTAACTGAAATTTAGCAATTCCTTCAATTGTTTAATGAGACTACCAAAAGAGACTGTGCCACAGAGAAAAGTTAGTAATTCCTGCACTAGAATATTTAACGGAGACAGAATGGGAAGGGAATTGGTGTATTTTTAAATTTTTTATTATGAATTTGACAAACATCAACAAACGTGGATATTTCCATACGCAAAGAACAGAAAGTGTATCATAGATAACACTATGCATATCTATTACATACAGCATAAAGTACATATTATATTTAAACAGTAATACCAATATGTCTCAGGTCAACTGTCTCTTTTTAAACTCCCTTCTGCTCTCTTATGCATCACTATCACTCCCTGCCATTCCACTCCTCTCCCCAAAAAAGAAAAAAAGGCTGGGCTCCAAAAACAAATAAAGTCAAGCAAAACAAATTAACACACTGACCACATATGAAAATGTATGTATCATTTTGTTACCTATAATCCCTTACTGTTGTCAGAATAAAAATATGACAAAAAGATAAACTGAGGCAAATTTCTCCAAGCCTTGATATCATTTCTCAACAGGGCCAGGCCACTTGATGGTCAATGGCTTCCTCCATTTATGCCTAAGACCCTTAAAAGAAGAGCTCCCCTTTTATAGGTTTTAGGGAGTACAGAACAAAGAATAGAACAGGGTACATGAAATCACCGGACAGGACAACATAGAGCTGACGTGAGAGGAACAAAATGACTGGCTGGAAGTTCGGTAACAAAGCACTAGCAAAGACTTCCTCTTTCCTTCCTGAAACTAAGAAGTGCTCACTGTTTGAGTCCAGACGCAAAGTTAGTGGGCCAGACTGTGGACAGCAAACCAGTATCCCTGAAGGATAGCTTGGTGGTGTAAAGACACTAGACCAAACTCCTGGTGCCAAACATCCCCCAGGGATAGTAAAATTCAAGAGTAGTACAGTGATTAGCAGGAGAGCTGGATTTTTAAACTTAATCCATTATGGGCCAGCTGAATCTCTGAACTAAGTTCTGAGACAAAGAACCACGACTTAAGCAGTTGCAGGACAACAGCAGTCAATTGTAAAAAAGAAAATTAAAAAAAAAATAGATACAGGATCAATTCACTGGGCTGCAGTGCGAAGACCACTATTGCCTTTTTGGATATCATGCTTGCTTCTCCTGCCTCTTTTGTCAATTACATGAACCTGTGTTTCTTTGTTATCAGGTAGAGTTTAATTGGAACTGTATTGAAAAATTACTATATTATGCTGATGAAAAGAAAAGGCATCCGTAATTTAAAAAAAAAACAACAAAACTCTGGACTTTAGAAATGCTGAATTTATATCAAAGCTCTACTAATCCTTTACTGTTGACCTTGAGCAAACTTCTCTCCTTCTCTGGGCCTGTTTCCTCAACTCCAAAATAAAGGATTTGGTCAACATGATCACTAAGTCACAGCTCAAGCATTCTGTCATTTTCTAATTTATATCTTTAGTCTCCTCTTGGCATTGATTTGCTACATATTGGCCAGATCATTTAACCTTTCATCGGATCAGTTTCATCACTTTTGATAGATTATGCTGCTCTCAGATATTGTATAGATTTTGTATATTAATATTTGAAAACATCATTTGAAAATATAAAGTGCTAGTTAAGTACCAGAAATAAAAGTAATCATCACAATTAGTAGTTCATTTGTGTTGCTGGGAGCAATAAAAAAAAATGTTGTTTGATTTTTTAAAGAGGCTATAGAGCCTTTAAACTGTTCTCAATTTAATTAATTTTAGTTAAGGAGACAGACTTAAATTTGCTTCTAAAAATAAGTGGAACTTAATTTAATGTGGTCATCATGACACACCTGCTGGATCCAAATTCTTTATCTGGATCAGATCCAAATCACCTCTTCTCCTAAGAGTTAGTGGTCTAAAAACGTGGATGTTCAGTCAGTAGTACACCGGCAGGATCAGAAGGGGAATACTTGTATACAATTTTTATGAATTACCACCCATACTTTATTTATCAACATTAATCCACTGGGGAAGAGTGTAGAACAGGCAAGCAGGAAATGAACACCAGAAATAGTCGGCACATTATGGATGGAAATCAGAAAAGACAGAATAGTGCTCTAGAAGAGTGCTCAGGTCTGAGGCTAGATGAGGTTCCTTCCAACTTCTGAATGTGAGAAACGCCTTTTTGCCTGTTCTATTCTGATGGACTAGTGATTTCAAGAGTGGGTATTCTATATACTAACGAGATTGGGACTGCCTTGGGCTTTCTGATCCTAAGTCATTCTTGCACCCTCTGTCACACGAAAGTTTAATCCTTT